CGACCCAGGGTTATTAGAATGGATATCACGGCACACTGGGCCTCAGGGTGGGGGCTTTTATTTTGGCCCAGGCTGCTGGTGGGAGAAGTGGAGAGGGAGTCCCAGGCATCCCGGTGATGGGCGCTGTGGCCTCAGGGCACTCTCCTAAGGGTTAGGACAGCATGTGCCACAGCAGGCCCTGCAGGCTGTGTCTGAGAGGCGGGAGCAACTAGGCCTGCGCTGACCTCACCTCGCTGTCTATCACCTATGACTTCTGTGGGACCCCTCCCCGCCCTCCATGGGCGTGGACATTGTCACCGTGGACCACCCACCCGGGGGCATCAGGCTCCTGTTCCCATTTTCAGAGATGGGCTGATTGTGGCACAGCCTCTGTGGGATGGGAAGAGGGTCAGGGTGGGGGGCTGGCTGCAGGCACCCCCCCATGTGGCTGAGCACATCCGTGGGACGGCACCAGCAGGTCCCCCTCCTCGGAGGCCTCATGAAACCAACTCGAGGCCAGCAGTGCTGCTGAGAAGGAGCAGCTCTAGCCAGTCAGCAGTGACCTGGGCGACTCCTGTCCCCACCCTCCTCCCTGAACCAGTGTCAGTCACACTCTCAGCTCTCGAAGAGGAGAGCGGCCCCATCCTAAGGTGACAGGGTTTGGGGATGGTCACACTAAGCCACCCAGCCAGGTGGCTTGCAACGCAGGGTCCACAGGGGCCGGGAAGCCTGGGCCTGGGAGGGTTCCGGGGGCATGAGAGAGAAAGTGGTCTCCGGGGACATCGGTGTCTGAGGTGTGCGGCCGTGCAGGGCTGTGCAGTGCCCTCCTGCTTCAGGACCTGAACTCCTCCTTCCTCCCACCCCCACTCAGGGCTCCGCACCCCACCTGAGTCTGGCCTAAGGCCCTGCAGAACCCCAGCCGTGGCCCCGGTTTGCCCTCAAGTCCTCACCGATAGCGAGCGGTGCCCAGCTGTGGGCCTGAGTAGAGGCAGGGTGGGGAGGGAAGGAGCGGGCCTCAGGGTCACCCCGGGCGAATGCCGGCTCCTGGGCCTTGATGATGTCCCTCAGTCAGTCTTGGGGGGCTCTCCCACTTGAGTCACCTGGGAAAGAACCAAAGTCCCATTTGTACCTTGTAAGTCCCCGATGTTGGGTGTCATTCCAGAAGTGAGGGGGATGAGTGGGGCACTTCCCGACATCCTGGTGCCAGGCCCAGGGACAAAGACACGTAAAACATGGTTTCTGCCTTGCATGGGAATTGCAAGTTATCTGGGAACTAATTTCAAGGGACCCCAGTTTAATACTAGAGATGGGGAGATCCCCGATTCAGGAGGGCTCCCTGGACAAGGTGACCTAAAGGATGGGTAGGAGTTGGGCCTGTGATGGTGGGAGAACACACAGGCGCCAAGGCAGGAATGAGTTGGGGGGCTTCCTTGAGCACTGAGATGGAGAAACCGCACTCTGCTGGGACCCGGCACCCCGAGCCCCACTAGCCCTTCCTCTGTGGACACAAGGACATCCAGGTCCACGGTGGGGTGTGCAGGAGCCAGCAGGTGGGGTTTGCTTTTGGGCGTGTGCATCAGGCAGGAGCGGAGGCAGAGCCAGAGGCCCTCCTCACGGCCCTTAGCCTCCCAGGAAAGTTCTTAACCTCAGGGCTCGCTGGGTCAGGCCCACCTGCAGGAGCTTGCAAGGGGTCCCGGAGGGTGGAGGGAGGGGCCACCCTGACTCCCTCCCAGTCTTCAGCCACCAGACCTCCTGAGCTGACTTCCTGGTCTCCTTGTGTCTTACAGAACGTGGCCCCACCCCAGAGTACCACCCGAGACATCAGGAGCCCATTGTGGGCGTGGGAAGACCCTCTGGGACCTCACGGCCCAGGTAGCTGCATCTTTACCCTCCCCCTGGGCAGGAAAGGGCTCACTCCAGTCAGAAGCAGCCTGGAGATGGGTGGTCTGGCAGAGAGGGTGAAACCCCAGCACCAGCCAAGTCCCCAGGCCCCACCTTGCAGCCGGGTCTGCCCTGCCCAGAGTACCCGAGGGATTCAGCCTGACCCTGCTGGGTGGAAGAGACCCCACTCCAGGCCCAGGAGTGAGGGAGTGGAACAAAGCGTCCCTGGCCTGCTGTCCACAGCCCTGCCTGGCAACGGGGACCCCCCCACCTACCTCCTCGCCGTCCAGGTGGTCTGTGGGCACCCAGGGCTTTAGGCAGCCCCTGAGCTGGGCCCAGGCCTCACGGCAGCCTCAGGGCAGTGGGGGCCGGAGCCGACAGGGAACAGATGCGGGAAGAGCGCCCCACATTCCGGGGGGCTCCACCGTAAAAACTCCATCAGCGTTTCCCTTTCCTTCCAGGTCTTCTGCTCTTAGCCACCGCCCCGGGCGACACCTGAAGCTCAAGGGACTCTGTCCACCCTCAGGTCAGTACAGCTTCTGAGTGTTGATGAAAACTGGGGATCCCCAGTCCCCTCCCTCCTGACTCCACCCTCCGCTGGGCCTGTCTGACACTGACACACACCACGTCCTTGTGCGTGCACCAGCCGCAGACCTCTGGGGGCCGAGGACCCAGGCAGATGCTCCTGCTCATTCGCACGGGCTCTGCTGGGTCTGGCCCAGCCTCATCCTTCCTCGCCTCTACCATCCTTTCTCTGCAGCTGAGGGACCAGGGCTCCAAGAACTCGGCTTTGGTCCAGGTCTGGCCCCGTCTTTTGGGCTCCCTCCTGCCTGAGTTGGGTGAAGCTCCTGTTTGCAAGGATCCAGCTGTGTCAAGGGCCCTGGGAGGGGAGGCCGAGGGCAGCCTGAGGGACCAGAGACTAGGGGGCAATTTACAGTGTCTGCTGAGGGCTCAGCAGGTAAGGCGTCCCCTGCCTGCTGCTGTCTGTCATGGCTGTCTTGTGGCCATGGCCGGGGGCAGGCCTGTCATACTGGGAAGTGCTCAGAGGCTGTGGCCAGCCTGAGGCCCCTCCCCTGGCCAGCCTGCCCCCGAGTGCAGACTGTCGCAGATGACTCTCGCCTCCCGGGGCATCCATGCGGCCATGTGGGTTGGGCAGGACTGGCATCCTCCCCCCTCCCCCGTTGCCATGGCCGGGGCAGGCCCACCTCCCGAGGCTATGTAGAGGACCCCAGGCTGCTGTGTGCGAGCCGAGCAGCCGGTGTCTGGCCCGGACCCCTCTGCCATCTGGGTCCCAGCGTGTTTACAGGTCGGCTTTGCCCACCAGACTCTGCAGACGCTGCCCCGGGGCCTTTGTGTCTGCACGCAGGGCCAGGCCACCAGCCGAGCAGAGAGTGGAGCAGGACACAGGTGGGGAGTTGGGGGAGGCTCCTGGGGACTCAGGGAGGAGGGGCGGGACAGAGGAGAGAGGGCAGGAGGAATAACAGAGGAAAGAGAACAGCATAGGAGACAGGAGAGGGGCTGGGCCTGGGTAAGAGGAGACACAGGTCAGGGTAGCCCTTGGAACTGTGGGGCTGTCATGGGGACACCAGCCTGGGGGAGCAGCTGACCCCAGGCATGTGACAGGGACCTAGTGGGTCTTGGCCAAGGAGATCTGGTCCACGGAGCCAGGGTTTTCCTGGCACCCATCATAAGCCAGGCCTGCTCCTGGGACCCCATCCCACCTGTACCCAGCCTTCCCCATGTACACAACTGGCCACCATCCAAAGTAATCCCCCCAACACCCCACAGCGGCAGTGGTGGCCTCCAGGGTCCAGACGAAATGGACACCACAGGCATGTCCCTCACCCAGGCTTGGGCATGGAATGTGCCCCTCTGGGTCTCTGACTCCCAAGCTCAGATAGACATGTCCAGGAGGTTGTGAGGGTGTGTCCCCAGGATCATGGGCAGGGGCCACCGTGTGCAGCAGCTGAGGCTCAGGATATGTAGGAAAGGGCCTGGAGTGGAGGAGGAGAGGCCTGCAGGGGAGAGTGGACAGTCCAGGGCTGGAACCAGCACCCCAGTACGCATGGCCAGTGGAAGATGAGGCCGGGCACATGGTAACTGCTTAGTGTTCATTAGATGCTGGGTGCCGGAGTCATCACCACAGGGTCACACACCCTCCGTCAGGACCATGGGCAAGGCAAGGCTACCACCCCACACCGTTCTTGCAGAGCCAGAGTCTGGGGGCTGCTGGGGCTGTGGAGGGCCTCTGGGGTGCTGGCTTGGACTAGGGGAGCCGTTGAAGGTCTGTGGGGACAGGGACTCGCTCAGCAGCATTTGTTTTATAGCTGTCCCAAACTGCTCCCCTTGGAGACCTCGGCCCAGGACAGGGAAGCCTCAGCCCTGTGGGTCCCTTGGCCTTGCCTGCCTCTCATGGGCTGTTCAGGCCTCACACTCAGGAGGTGGCATCTTGCTGGCCACACCGTGCCATTAGCCCAGTGCCTCACCCACACTCGGTGGCAGACAACAGGAGCCACAGCCCCAACCAGAGCTGGCGGCCACGCGGCCCCTTTGATAGTCCGCGTTGGCTGGTTTTCTGAAGGGACTTGTTCCTGTCCTGGGTACCCTAGGTACTGATGGAGAGGCCACCCTGTCCTTTGGGAGTGGGTGCAGATGTGTGTGCCTGGGAAACCCAGGCGTGGGACAGGGCGATGGCCTGGCACCCCATGGCAGAGCCACGCTGAGAAGCCACATCGGCCAGCTCCAAGACTGCCTAGTGGACCCGGCCTCCACAGCCTGAGTAGGGACTGTGGGGCCCGTGGTGTGACCTCAGCAGCCTCTGCAGACAGTGGAGTGGCACTTTCTCCTCAGAGGTTGAAGGGCATGAGCAGTGGCCCAGGTGGCCTCCAGGTACAGGTCCAGGGAACAGAGGTTTGCTCTCATGTCAAATACCCAGATGCCTTTTCTAATTTTTTAAATTATTTTTTATTTTATTTTTTTTGGAGACAGAGTCTTGCTCTGTAGCCCAGGCTGGAGTGCAGTGGTGCAATCTCAGCTCACTGCAACTTCCGCCTCCCGGGTTCAGGTGATTCTCCTGCCTCAGCCTCCAAAGTAGCTGGAATTACAGGTACCTGCCACCACGCCTGGCTAACTTTTGTATTTCTAGTGGAGATGGGGTTTCTCCATGTTAGCCAGGCTGGTCTTGAGCTCCTGACCTCAGCTGTTATGCCCGCCTTGGCCTCCCAAAGTGCTGGGATTACAGGCGTGAGCCACCGCGCCCGGCCCCGGATGCCTGTTTTTACCCAGACAAGCAAGCAGGCAAGGCCTTTACGATCGCCCTGCATGTGATCTTTTAGTCCCTCGAAAAATACAGGCAGTCCCTGACTTGTGATGGAGTTTGTCCTGAGAAACCCATTGTAAATTAAAAATATCGTAAGTCAAAAAAGCATTTATTACACCTAACTGCCAGACATCGTGGCCTATCCCAGGCCCCCGAAACGTGCTCAGAACACTTACGTTAGCCTCCGGTAGGGCAAAATCATCTAACACAAAGCCTAGTTACACAAGGTGTTGCGGATCTCCTGTTACTTATTTAACACTGTACTGAAGTGTGGTTGGTTTCTACTGAATTCACATCCTTTTGGGTCGAGAAATCTTAAGTTGAATCCTGGTAAGTCAGGGCTGTCCTTATGGACAAAATGCAGAGTGGTGGCCCTCGCGTGGCACCTCCCTGTTGGTTCTGAGCAGCGCTCTTTGGCTGTGAGAAACTTTAGTGAGCATGAAGTTGAGCCCTCACTGTGACGAGGGATGGGACAGGGTGCAAGGACAGCCACCTGCAACAGTACCTGGATGAAACACCTTCTGGATTCGAGGAGTTCCCGTGGGCCAAGCCCTGAGCCAGACGTGTGGAGTCGTCCTTCTTCCTGACGGCCCTGCATAATGCCCCTCACCTGAGGCTCCAAGAGCCATTGGGGCTTGCCCTGGCTGCCAGGCTGGCATACAGCAGAGCAGGGCCCCAGCCCCAGCCTGCACTGCAGTAGAAACACCTCTGTGTTCTATGAACGTGGTCTCACCAAGGCGTGGGGCTGCCAGATCTCTAGGGAGTGGGGAGGGACTGAGGTCTGGGGTCTGGGGTCTGCGCCAAGCCTTCCGAAGCCTGGCTGTACAGTGGGGACAGGCCCTGCCACTCAGGCCCTTGCCAGGATGGTGCCAGGGCGGGCCAGGCCCCCAGCCCCAGTGCTCCTGGCAGTGCCCAAGGCTGCCGCCTCCACAGTTCTGGCTTCCCTCCCTGGCCTGGTTGGTTGAGCACCTGGCCTCAGGCATGGCCCAGGCTAGGGGCCTTGTTCCCCACACAGTTCTGAGCTGAAAGCACGCCGTGTCCAGCTCTGCGCAGGGAAGGGGCAGGCTCTCAGCTCATCCTGCAGCTGTGTCTCACTGCGCCGGCAGTCCAGGGTACGACATGCCCTTCTCCACCCAGCCAGAGGTGGGTGGCCTTGAGAACTGGAGAGCCAGAGGCTCCTGGCTGTCCCTGAAAAAGGAAATTGGGCCTCCTGAATTGGGGGCTCCCTGAGCTCGCCTAACACAGAAGGACCTCCTAGTGCCTGTGAACAGGCAGGTAAACGTCTTTGAGTCCCCACTCCCTCGTCCCTGACACACGGGGAGCAGGGTCGCTCCTGCGCTGGCTGTGGCTGTGGGGAAGGAACAGCTGCCGCATTCCTGCATCTGAAGATCAGGTTGTCACGAGGACTGACTGAGTCACCAGGTGTGAGGGGCTTTGGTGGGTGCCTGGCGTGTCACAGTGGCAAGGCTTTCACACTGGCCAGGTCCCCAGCCGGGAGCATTTGCCCAGGAGCCTGCGTCGTACAGCTGGTCTGGTCCCACCGAGGAATAACCACATGTGGGAGAGGCCCCGGGAGTAGGCGAGGTGGTTGCCTGTTCACGCCCAGAGAGTCGTCAGGGCAATGGGTGACACAGTGATGGGGACGGTGGCACCTGCCCTCAGTGCTGCACTGTGTCACTCAGGCAGCCCCCCCCACTCCCCGTGAGCACCGTGCCGGCTTCCCTAATTTCATCCTTGTTTTTTGATGCAGGCGCTGCCCATGGCTCCGGAGCAGCGGTCCCCGTCGGAGGCTTGGGCTGAGTAATCAGGTGTGTGAGTAGTATCCTCCCCCTGGCCCGGTGGCCCCTCGAACACCCTGCTGCCAGCCACAGCTCAGCCACTCTAGGCCTTGGCTTCCCTGTCTGTGCAGTAGGGTTGGTGGCGATCACAGGCTTCTGCTCTGCACAGGCTGGGAGGGACTGCCACGTGGCTGCACCCCCAGCCCAGGAGCTCAGGAGCAGCCTCGCTGTGTCTGCCGGACCTTTGGGTTCTGAATAAGATCTGGTGAAGAGACATGGAGACCAGTGCTGGGCAGGGGCAGGAAGGCACCCCTGTGGCACCCTGGGGATCTGTTGGATCTGGGGGTGCTGCCTGCCAGGCTCTGCTCTGCCCTGTGAGTGTTTGTTAGGGGCAGTGGGGTTCGTGCCCTTGTCCAGAGGAGGCTGGAGAAGGGGACACAAGTGGGGAGTAGACAGAGGGTCACCAGACAGATGAGAGGGATGGAACTCGGGGCTCGTTTGGGAAGTGGCTGGTGCTGAGCGTGGCTGGGGCAGGGCTCCAGGAGGGGCCAGGTGGGCCCGACCCCCCTTGTTTCCTGGCACAGCAGTCCCTGGAGTTCAGGCCAGGCCCTCATGCCACCTGTCTGTGGACCGCTCCAACCTCGGGCACATGAGGAGCCGCCCTCCACAGGTCTGGGGGCAAAGGAAGGTTTTGAATTGGGAGCCCAGGCTCAGTAGGCCCCTGCCGTCTCCCCCAGAGGTTGTGCCTCAGGCTAGGCCGGCTGGGCTGCAAGGTGGGAGGGCATCAGTGCCCCGGGAAGGCCCCAGTCCCCCAGGGCCACCTCCAGAGCCTTAGACGGGACAAGGCCTCTGGATGCCCCTGCTGCTGGGAGCCTGGGCGGAAGAAGGTTCCAGAAAGGGACCACCTGCCTGTCTCTGGCCCATGCGCAGGGCAGGCGCTGTGCTTCTCTCCCAGTGGCTGTGCCTCCTCCTCCTCCCAGCCCCACCCCCTCTCCCGCCCGTGGCCTGGCGGTCTTTGTCTTCCAAGCGCTCTGCAAAATGGCCGCCTGACCCGCCGCCATTTTGTAGCTGAGGTGGCAGCGGCCTTGGCGAGGCCTGTGAGGGAGGACGGCCATGGCCCGCCTGCCTGCCCTGAGCAGCCTGGACAGAGCCCAGCACCGGCCCCCGCCCGGCCTGGCCTTGGCCGTGGCCGCCCCGGGCTTGGCACCAGCCAGCCCTTGGCAAGGCGGCCCGAGAGTCCTGGTCCCTCACCCAGCCCTGCCGACCCTGAGGCGGCCTTGCTGAGCAGACGGAGAGGCCTTGAGCCAGGGCCAGGCGGGTGCAGCCTCGCGGGTGGGGGAGTCTGGGGACTCCCTGCACCTCTGCAGGGTGACACCTTCAGGCCTTGACCACTTTGCCTGGGCACTCCTGGCCTGGTCTGGCCCGGCCGGGGGTGGGTCTCTGAGTGGCCAGCCTGGCTTCTGGCCTAGAGATGGGCACCACTATCCTCAGGAAGCGGGCAGGGCCCCACTCTAGCCAGGATTCCCCTGTGGTGGTGTCAGCCAAGGTCCGTGACACACGGAAGTGGAGGACCTGCCCCCCCCCCCCCGGGAAGTGGCATATTCCCCAAGGGACAGGCAGCCCTGGATGGTGTCCAGGAAAATCCTGGGGGTCAGAGGCTGCAGAGCAGCATCAGGGAGACGCTGGGTGTCGGCCGTGGGGGACATCGTGCCCTTGGCCTGGGCAGGTGGACCTGGGGGAGCCCTGTGGGGTTGGCCACACGTCGGTGCCTGCGATCCCTGCAATAGCGTCCCCTGGAGGGCTGTGCGCCTCCTGGAAGAAGTTGGGAGAAATCTCTGCGTGAAGCAGGGAATAGCATTTGATAAAAGTGTGTGTGTTTTCTAGGGGTCAGTGCGGGTCCTCTGGGCGTCATGGGGGGGTTGCCGGGTAGGCCCCACAGTGGCCTGTGTTCTCCACGTGGCGTGGGTCAGTTCTGCACTGGAGGAGACCCTTCCCCAGACACCTGCTGGACACCCAGCCAAGCCCTTGAGGCCTGGGAATGTCTCTGGATGCCACCCCACACCCCTACCAGACTCCTCTCCCTGCGGCTCCTGGACAGAAGGAACATTCCGTCACCATGAAGCCAAGTTTGCCCAGGCCCTGCCCTTGCCCTGGGGAAACCCAGCTGGGGATGGGAAGGAGGAATGCTGCCCGCCTGCCTGCCTAGACCAGAGTGGCCCCACATGCCAGGCTAGGCCCGCAGCCTCCCAGGGCACATGGGAGCTCCAGGCTTCCCGGCAGGAAAAGCCCCCCCAACCCGCAGAAGGGCCGGTCCCGGGGCGGGGGCGAGGAGGGAAGTTGCTGCTGGGTGGGTGACCTCGGGGTGGGGTTCAGGCTGGGGTATTTTTAATGATGTGGCTGCATCTGGTCACCGCCCCCCCCACCACCCCCCATTCTTTCCTGTCCTCCCCACCTTGTGACCCAGACTGTGGCTTGAATTAAGAATGTTTTCAGATAAGTACACGCCTTTGAGGTTAAAACTATGCCTAATGATTAAACACCAGACGGAGATCGCCACGGGAGAAGGGCAGGCTCTGCATTCCTGCTTTTCCCCTTTGGACTCCAAGCGAACCTGTTTGTGTGATCTGGAGCACAACAGCCCTGGGGGCCGACGTCCTGACCCATCCTACGGAGGAGGCAGCTGAGGCCCAGAGGAGTTCACCTGCCCCATCTCAGACCCGTCACTGAGGGAGACAGAGGCAGGTCAGAATGAGGCCTGGAGGCCCCCAGGCCTGTGCCTCGTGAATGCCAGCACATCTGCAGGGCAGGGTCCTCCCCCGCCAGCACCAGCTCTCGTTATCTTGGGTGCTGGTTAACTCTCATGGGCTGCCACACTCACACCTGTGGCCACAAGGATGGCACCTGCTGGGCCTCTGGCCATGTTCTAGGTGCAGGACATGTGGCCACAGTGGGCCTGGCCCCAGCCGTGAGGAGTGGGCATTCCCCGAGCCTGTCCACCACTGAGAACTTAGTGGCTGGGAGAGAACAGGAAAGCAGGAAGCTCTACAGGGCACAGACTCTTAACAGTGGAGACCCGAACCCGGAGCACGCGGGTGTCAGTTTTGGGGAAGAGACAGGGAGGGTGCTGACAAGGGGCCAGTGAGGGGACCTTGGGACCCTGGCCAGCCCTGAAAGGAAGGCAGGTTGGGTGCATGCCCCACCGTGGGGCACCCCTTTCCCACCTGCGTGAGGTGTGCAGGGCCGGGAGGGCGGGGCTGAGGAGCACAGTTCCAGCTCTGGCTTTGCCTTGGCGTCCCCGTAGCGTGCTGTTGGGGACCGTGAGGCAGCTGGGTGGCCCAGCTGTATTGCAGCCTGGGGCTAGAGGAGAGATCAATAACCCTTACCCGTGCCATCTTGATTTAAGTTTGATGTTTCTAGATCATGGGCCTTTCTGCATTAGTTTTTGTTTTTTTAATTTAATTTCGCAGTCAGACATTTCTGCTGATGGCTGGGTTTTTGGTCCCTGTAACATGCCTCCCAAGCCTTGCCCTGGTCCCCGCCCTGCTCAGCTGAGCCAGAGCCGCAGGCTGCCCGAGTCTCGTTAGCTTTCTTGGCCGTGTTTGTGGGAGGCCCGCCTCCCGCCCCAGCCCCCGCACAGCACCCCTCCCGGTCTTTTCCCAGACCCCATTGTTGGCACGGCTTGCTGAGCAGAGACACTGGCCGCTTTATGGGGAGAAACCCAATCAGGGTGCTGGGGGGCTCTTTCGGGGGGGGTCCAGCTCCCAGTGGCCCCGAGCCAAGCCCGAGGTGACTTCGGGGTGACACCGTCTGTCTGCCTCACTTGCTCCAGACATCCGCCTACCCTGAAATGGCCACCTGCCCACTGAGGCCTCCGCACACCTGTCCCGGCCGGCCTGGCCCCTCCCCCGCCCATGGGCAGACACCGTGGGGCCAGGGCAGCGCCCCAGAGGTGGCAGCTGGCAGATGGCAGAGCGCCTGCTGACTGCTCACTCCCCGTCAGCTCTGCTCCAGGAGCGCCATTCACACTGCGTGGCCCGCTCAGCCCTCCCCCAGGCTGGCTGGGAAGGGTCTCTCTGGTCTGAAGCCTCCCGAGCAAGGGGAGATTCCTGCCGCCTCCCCAGGCCCGAGGCCTGCGCTCACCCCCAGGGCTGCCGGGAGACCATCTCTGTGCACACCCCACAACATGCACCTGGGGCCTTCTCCCCACCAGCTCAGAAATGACTCTGTGAGGGGGTCACCAGTAGAAACATCAATCTTTCCCCACCCGGCACCCAAAACAACCCTGGTTGTCGGCTGGAGTCCTATTCCGGGCTAGTCCTCTTGCGGTGGGGGTGGAGCCCGTGAGGTCCTGGTCCTGCGGAGCACAGCAGGGTTGGGTGTGCAGGAAATGTGCCAGACACCCTCCTCGGAGTCCCTGGGAGTGGGCAGTGCCACACTCAGGCTCCCTGACCACTGCAGGCTGGGGTGGGCCAGATGTGAGTCCCAGAGCCTGCGGGGCAGAGCCGAGACTCGTCAGGGAGCTCAGAGCCCTCTGGGGAAAGGAGCAGGAGAGCAGGGTGGTTGTGCCTGGCAGAGGGATGGGCCAGGGCAATGCTGGGAGCAGAGACCTGCCCGGGGCAGTTGCTGCTCTGGGAGGGAGCCAGGGCTGCGGGCACGCAGGGGAGGGGCAGAGACGGTAGAAAGGGTGGCAGCAGTGGTAGACGGACTGGCTGGCTGGGAGCTCAGGCAGGGCTGGTGCTCAGGGAGGAAGAGGGAAGGGCACCTCCCACCCAGTGTCCCCACAGGCCCCCCAATAGCCTGGTGGGTAAATTTCCTGATCCCCAGCAGGGCTGCCCTTCCTCAAGGTCACACCGTACAGGGCTGCGGGGAACCAGGGTCTGTCTGCTCCCTTCCAGCTCTTGGGCTCAGCCCTATGGACCCCCATTCCCTTCCTGCCTGGATGTGCCTCTCTGGCCTTCGCACCCTGTGCCCGTCCTGCAAGGGCACTCTGGCCAGAATGGGCCAGAGTGAGGTAAAATTGTGATTCACTGAACAAGCCCTTGAGGGGTCCCTGCAGCCCCAGGCTGGATCCTGTGAGCCCTTCCCGGGGGGTTCTGCTCGTGAGGAGACCCCAAGCCTTCCTCTTCCTGGGTCCCAGGAGAAGCCACAGCCCCCGGGAGCCTCAATGTCCTACTCAGTGCAGTGGGGATTTAACCCCTCCCTCCAGGGTCCAGCCACCTGCTGACAGGCCACGCGCACAGGAAAGCAGCACCAGGCTGTCCCTCCACGCATCCTTCCACCCTCCCCTGGGGCCTGGAGCATCCAGGTACCAGCCTGGCAGGGTACGGGCTACCCAGCGGGGGAACCTGGCCACTGACCACACAAGGATAGGCCTGGGTCTCGGTCATCAGTGACCTGGCATTGTCCAACCGACACAGGGCCGGCCACGGAGGCCATTCCATCCAGGGCCATTGGGATGTCTGGGCAAGGCCCAAGGTCACAACGGGGTTCAGGGCTGGGCGAGGCCACATCTCTTCCAGAGCTGACACTTGTCACTTTTGTTTTTAAAACCAAACAGGTCAAGAAGTGGTGCTGACCTGGGAGCCCCTGCCTGCGGCCAGCCTTCCTCGCAGTGAGCTGGGCCTCCTGCCATCCTGGCTCTGGAGGTAGGAGCCATCGTGAGAGCCAGGACACTGCCGGTCCTCTCCGGGCCCCGCCCTCAGGCACAGAGGTCCTTAGATGGGGACCTTCGCCCAGGCTGTGCCCTCCCCTGAAGCTATGTCTTTTCTTGTCTTCCCATCACTCTCCCTGCACTCCCCCAGGTGGCTCACCTCATCTGCCCACTGTGCACTTGGGACATGGTGGCCTTTGCCCGTAGTGGTGTGCCCCTCAGGCTGGGCAGGGCCTGAAGCCACTGTGGTTGGTGGCGGGGTGTCTGAGTGGAAGAGGCGCACAGCCTCACCTCCACACCTGAGGACTCTCTGGCCCTGGGCTCTCTCGTGTGTACTGCCTGTCTGCAGAACCCGGCCTGCCTCGAGGGCTCCCTGGGGACAGAAGACCCTGCACTAGCCCTCACTGTCACCCAGCCATCGGTCATCCTGGAGTGCAGCCCTCATGCCCTGAGGCTACCTGCCATCGCCCAGGATGACTCAAGATGCCACCTGGGTAAGTCTAGCCCAGAACAAGAAAGTCCAAATGAGGGACACTGAGTCACATCTGCTTCTCCAAGGTGGGGCTGGGGACCCAGAGCACTTTTGGTGACGGCCAGGGTGGACTAGGGGTCTGTCTCCCATTCTCTCCCTGTGTCACCTCGTAGACCCCGACCTGTGGGCTGGAGGTTCCCATGGTGGGCATTTTAGGCTCTAGGGGGCTGAAGTCCTGGCCTGGGGTACCAGTGGGGGCCAGGCTGGGGCCAGTGGAATCTGTGGTGGTCCCCACCTGCACTCCAGCTCCAACGGCTGATGATGGGGGCCCTGGCAGCTGATCCCGTTCCTCAGTGGGGAGACCATGGCTCCCGAGGGCGTGAGACCTGCCCAGAGCATAGCCCGGAGGCCAGTATGGATTCCCACAGCTCTACCCACTGGGCCATCCTGCCCACCCCACTCTTAACCTGCTGGGACCAGGGATGAGAACCTAGTAGGTGAGGGGACCCAGTCAGCCCAGATGGCCAGTGCAGCCCGATGGGGTGGGGGTCTCAGAAACTAAGTCAGCAGCCCAGAGCTCGTGCTGAGCGCGCCGTGGCCCACAGCCTTCCCCAAGGCACTTCCCAGGGGCGCAGATGGGGGTAGACGCAGGGACACTCAGGATGGAGTGCCTGAGTGGGAGCTGGTGACGAGGTGAGGGCAGCCTGAGTCACCCCACAGGATAGCCTTGATTTCCCCACCTCGGCCACTCACCACTGCTGGGAGGGTACAAAGACACCCTCAGCCACTGTGCCTTCGGCCCCCATCCTAGCCTGGCTGGCTCTGCCTGGACCACCCTTAGGGACATCTTGGTCCTGCCCACCCACCAGGGGATCCAGAATTGGGACAGGGAATAGGACCCCCAGACCCTCTCAAGCAGCTTTTGTTCCGAGCCCTTGAGGGAACAGGGGATGTCTGTGACCCAAGGCCAGACAGTGCCGGGATGGAGGGGAGCTGGGCTGCATTGAGGTCCTCCTGGTCCGCATCCCGGGTGAGTCAGCAAATTCATCTCCAGTTCTGGGTGGGCAATGCCGGGCGTGAGCCTCAGTGGTCTCCTTGCTGGCTGAGGAGCTCGGAGTTGCTCCAGTGGCCCTCGGGAGGGAGTAGGTGGCAATCCCCGGAGAGCAAGCAGACCCCTCCCCCACCAGCTTCTGAGAGCAAAGACAGAGATACAGCCCAGAGACACAGCAGCGCTGAGCCTCAGTTTCCCCACTATGACGTGGGATCCATGATCTCAGCCTCACCAGGGCTGTGAGGATTACATGGTCCAGCCCAGCCTAGTGCCTGCCTGGAATAGGCAGCCTGCTCAGGACAGGCTGTGGCAGGAGGGCTGGGGTTGACCCTCCAAGTCCACTCTGGCGCAGGGGAGCTGAGAGCAGCACGGGGTTTAACTTGGCAGGAAGCAGAATGTTCGGACGTCACTCTGCTTCCCCCCGGCTGTGTGACCTTGAGAAGTTCATCTTGCTTCTCTGGGCCTCGGTCTCTTCACCTGTTAGAGGGATTGACAGGCGTGCCTGCCTCTTCAGCTCTTCCCCGGGCTCCCCCAGGAAGGTGGTGGCCACAGCGAACGTTTGTTGAGGCTGAGCCTGCGCCAGGCCCGGGATAGGTGGGGCTCAGAGAGGCCCGTCTCTTGCCACGTTTCCCTGCTACGGGGGCCCTAAGGCCCTCTCAGCGCCCCTCAGCCCTCTTTCCTCCCCTACTCCAGGAGGTGCCTCCGGAAGCCATGGAGTCCCACCTCAGCACCGAGACCGACTGCCCTTTGGGGTGAGGTAGTAGGTTGTATAGTTTGGGGCTCTGCCCTCCTATGGGGTAACTATACAATCTACTGTCTTTCCTGAAGTGGCTGTAATATCTGCGGTGGACACAGCGTCTGGGGCCTTGGCTGGGGAGGGGCAGGGGTGGGCTTGGGGGCAGGCTTGGCAGCAGTCAGCGGTAGGAGCTGCCTACACGAAGTCTGACAGGCCCAGGCTGCACTTGCTGTGTGACCTGAGACAGGCCCCTGATCTCTCTGGGCCTCAGTTTCCTCCTCTGTAAAGCGGAAGCAAATGAGGATGGAAGGAGACGCAGTGTGGAGCGTCCAGGGCAAAGGACAGCTGAGCCGACCCCACCCTCTGCTGCAGCCACACTGAGGGTGGCGACCCACGTGGCTGTTTGTCCGACCTCTGTCCCCCAACCACCCCCCACATCAGTTCAGGCTCATGGGTGGCCCTGAGCCGGAGACTGGGCGGTATTCTCCGCTAAGCACCAGGAGAAGGCCGTGAGTGTGGGCCTTGCCCACCAGCCCAGGCACCCAGCACATGCCCCAGCCTGGCCAGCTCAGTGGCAGGGCCTCTGCCTGTGGAGGAAGGCTCAGGCCCCTTTCCCGAGCAGGAATTGAGAGCGACGGCTCTGCACACTCCCTGGGCCCCACATGGGCACAGCCTGAAGGCAGATGGTGGCTCCTCTATACCTGGGGAAACTGAGGCCCAGATAGCCAGGTCTCAGGTCCTGAGACCAGCCAGCAGCAGCTGCCCCTTCCAGGGGTGCCCTCTCCACTGTCCCTCCTGCCCTGAGCCTGCCCAGCCCCCCTGCTCTGGTGGCTGACGACCACCGGGTGGGGGCGGCGCTGGGCGGGGTTGGTGGGCCCTCCCGCAGGGCAAGGCCGGGCCTGGCGGGGTGAGGTAGTAGGTTGTGTGGTTTCAGGGCAGTGATGTTGCCCCTCAGAAGATAACTATACAACCTACTGCCTTCCCTGAGGAGCCCAGTGACGCGACCCCACGGGAGGGCTGTCCCCAAACTCAGTGACGGGCAGGGGGACCTAAGCCAAAGATGGGCGGGCATCTGGGGCCTGGGTGCAATAAAGCTGCTCTGGCCATGAACTTGGAACTGGCCCCTTTCATTCTGGAAGCCCAGGGACTGGCCTCTGGGGCACATCTGCTGTGGGACATGGGGAGGCCCTGGCCACGAGCTGTTCGAGGTCATCAGGCTCGCCTGTCACTGCTGCTGCTCCCGCCTTCTGGTGCCTCCGGAGTCCTCAGATGGGTCCCACGCTGTACCCTGGGCTCAGGATCCCAGGCTCAGCCCGTTCTCTGCCCTCTCACGCTGCTTTGAGCCAGGCGGGCTGAGCACCAGGAACCAGGCCTAGTGGCAAGGTCCCTGCAGGCAGCCACCGAGGTCCCAGGTCAGCAGCTCAGAGCACTGCCAGGGCCTGGCTCCTGAGGCCACCTCAGTGCCTTGAACACCTTGACTAGAGTCTGAATGCACCTGGCCTTCCATGCTCCCCTAGGACAGTTCCTGGGGCACCTGTAATTCCTCTGTCCATCCCAAATGTGCACCCATTCTCTCGGGAGGCCTCAGGCCTTCGTGCCAGCGGCTGCCATGGGCTGGTCCCAGCGATCCTGGCCTGGGTGTGTGGGCTTGTCTGTGCCTGGCCCAGCCACTGAGCGCACCTGGGGGGAAGTGCGGGCATAGCCAGGCCACACCTCCCCCGGCCAGTCTTGGCCCAGATTTCACCCTGCACCGTCTTGGGTCTGCAGGCAAACCCAGCCCTGCATGGCCATGTCTGGGCAGTCTGGCACCCCGTACCCTGACACCCGTCTGTGCCAGGCCTGCCTACCCTCCCAGAGCCGCTGCCACACTGTGGGCCAAGGGCAGAGGGAGCATGGAGGAGGGGCCCAAGGGCAGGGAGGGATTCCTAAAGCAGGGGCCATCTGAGCTGGGTCTTGACAGCCACATAGGAGTTTGCAGCTGGAAATGAGTGACATGCCCACTGGACCCTTCTCTCTGGTCCCTTCATCCTCTGGGGCCAGAGTGGGTGACACATGGGCACTGACCAACTCCACTTCTTCACCTGGTGATCAGTCAGCAGCCACATCTGGCCACTTCTGTGAACACCGCTTCCATCCCTCCCCACTCCCACCGCCAGGCCTCAGTCTCAGCAGCCCCCTCCGTCCTTCCGGAGCAGACCTGAGTCCCCCGTCTGCGCTGCCTCCCAGCACTCCTCCCTCAGGCCTGCACTCACCTCCACCAGGACTCCCTCCTGCTCACCACGGCTCCCCCCATCCTCAGTGCACGGCTCAGACCCACCTCTGGCCACCGCAGCTCCTGTCTGTGTCTGAGCAGACCCATGAGGATTTAAGCAGGTACCAGGTCAGAGTGCCCAGGGCTGTGGGTGAGCCTCCTTGAGGACAAAGTCCAGGGAGGAGAGCCGGGGACCAGGGACATTCGAGGTGGCCCCAGCTTCCCAGGCTGTGCAGCAGCCATGTGCCAGGGATCCCTCCCAGCTCAGGCAGAGCCGTACCCTATGGAAGACAGGGTGCGAGGCCCCTGGGCCCTGAGGTTCAAAAGGGCCACCTCTGACCTGGACCTTCCTAGCAGGAATGCAGAGCCAGTCTACCACTTGAACCCTGCAGTCCGAGCACCAAGGGACAGGGCCACCATGCAGGGCCAGGGCTAGGACAAGGCCAGTGAGGTGGCAGAGAGGGAGCATCTCGGGGGAGGCAGGGGCCTTTCTCGGGCCACGCATCAGCACAAGCCACAGAGCTGAGGGCCCAGGGAGAGTCTTGTTTCCATTTCTTTTAAAATGTAAAGAGAAAATGATCCCCCATATTGAATATATAATATGCAGTGAGTAGATTAGAGAGCGGTGTGGATGACGGGTGAACAGAGCAAGGACCCAGCCTGGGTTCTGGGTATCTTCTGACCACCCCGGTCGTGGGTACGGTCCGTGATTTTGTTGTGAATTGTGGAGGAAAGGCCCAGGAGGACCACATGCCCCGCCAGGGAAGCCATAGAGGGCTCTGCCCCGGGCAGTCAGTGCCTCCTTCATTGCCGAGCCCTGCCATCCCTCGCCCCGCCCTGCTTCCCCCACCATCCGCCCGTCCTGGGCAGCCTGCCACCCCTGCGGGCCACCCCCGAGGGCCACCCCTGCCATCCGACTGTGAGTTTCCTGACAGCGACACCGTGTGGCAGCAGGAGGCGGCGCGCCGGGAGCTCTGAGCGGCCAGCCCCACCTGTACCCCATCTCTGAGGCCAAGGCTGTGAATAGGGCGACCCCTTCTGGGCTGTGGAAGCCTTGGGTTTGAGGACGACCCTGGAGAGGGGCCCAGGCACTTCTCGCTCCCCTGGCGTGTGGTAGTGGGGCGGGGTGGGGGCCTCTGTGCCCATCACAGCCACATGCCAGGGCCTTCGGCCATCGTCGAAAGCCAGTGACATGCCTGGCGGCCTCCTGCCTGCCTGTGCCCTGCTCACCACCAATGAGCCATCAGCATCACTGCCCCTGCTTGGCATCCGGCAAACCTGTTGGGTGTGAGCCAGAGGCAGCCACCCTGTGCCCAGCAGAGCTGAGTTGAGACCCACATCTGTCCCCAGGCACTGCCACCAGCAGGGAGACCAGACTGAGCCTGGGAGGACTCGGACTGGGTTATCTGAAGGCCTGGAGCTCAGGTGGCCCCAGGTAGAGGAGGTGGCACAGTGGAGGCCCACACATGGGAAGTGGGGTGGGGTAGCTGAGCCTCCAGAGCCTGAAGGGAGGCTGGAGCCCCAGGGAAGGGGCTCAGATGCCCAGGAGGGAAGGCAGGCCCTAGGGCTGAGCCCCTGGCCCCCTGGCAGACTCATGCCCACCCAGTGGCATTTAGTATAAATGGGCTCCTCTGATGTTGCCTCCTGAAATAGGCAGGGTCTGTGGGGTCAGGGCAAGCCATGAAGCCTGGGGCATCCCTGCGCCCGCTGGGAGAACATGGCTGGTCACTGTCCCATTCTGAGCTCAGCCTCTTTCTAGAATGGGGAGGGAGGTGGCACCAGCCAGGTAGCACATCTCAGATCTGGGACAACTGGAGGGCTGAGGTGAACAAGGAAGGGGAAGGCTTTCAGGTCTGGCTTGCTCAAGGGACTTCTGCTGCACTCAACATGAGTCACCCTCTCCTGTGCTGCCTCCCAGCACCCCTCCCCCATGCCTGTGCTCACCTCCACCAGGACTCCCTCCTGTTCACCACGACTCCCTCACCTCTCAGTCCACGGCTCAGACCCACCTCTGGCCACAGCTCCTACCTCGGCCCCAGCTGCTGCTGAGCCTGAGGGCAGGTGGTGCTGCCAGGTGCCTTGCGGTGGCCTCCCCGCATGCGTCCTTCCTGGTGGCCCAAGTTCAGCATCCACACTTATGCCAGCCAGTGCCCTGTCCGTCCCCCACCCTTCCAATGCTCTGGGCTGCCCAGAGCGAGAGCTGCTGTGAGTCTCGGTGGGTAGCCGGGTCTCTCTCTGAGTGGGAGCGGCTCCCCCAGGGATGGGAGTGGCGCCCAGGCAGTTGCCGTAAATGCTGGCGTGTTGGCCCCTCTGGTGCTGCGCCGGCGACGTCCCCCGCCTGATCTGCTTCCTCAGAGTCCCCAGAGGGCTACCATCCTCAGCCCATTTCACGAATGTGGAGATAGAGGCTCAGAGAGGTGCAGTGACACACAAGGCCACGCAGTGGGCCGGGTAACGCTGGAACAGGCGAGCAGCTCTGTCCGCCCTGATCTGCAGCTGTCCTGCCTTCCAGGCTGCCCGGGGTTGGGACAGGAATGATGGCAGAGGGGAGGAACAGGTGATGTTCTGGGGTGCTTCCCTAGGACCAAGGAACTGGGCCAGGCCCAGGGCCCTGCCGGCTACCTCGCTTCCAGCCTTGTCCCTGAAGTTCCCCTAGGCAGGAGGTAAGCAGCTGTCTGCACACTGCTGTCCAGCCTCCCCAGAAGGGATGGGCGCTCCCTCAGACTTGACCTGCGCTCAGACATGGTGGCCCTGTCCTTGGTGGGCCCGGAAGCCAACTTTCACCCCTTTCAAATCCTGGGTATCAGGGCTTTGCCTCCATCCAAGCCCCAGCCAGGCAGCACTGCCCTGACCATCAAGCAAGACATACTGACCCTCCTGCGGTCCCGGAAAGACAACAGAAGAGCAGCCCATCTTCAAGGACTCGCCCTGTCCCTCCCCTCCTCCCACCACACCACAGACCCGACAGCCTCTCACCAAGCCCATCCTCCACCGTCCTTGTCCTCCGGCTCAGCCCCCCAGGCTTCTGCCCATTTCCTGGGTCAGCCCCACACAAGTCCAGGTTCCTGGCAAAAGCTGGAGCCCCAAGTAAAGATATCATATCTGGCCAGGTGCAGTGGCTCACACCTGTAATCCCAGCACTCTGGGAGGCCGAGGCAGGAGCAGCACTTGAGCCCAGGAGATCAAGACCAGCCTGGACAACATGGCAAAACCCCATCTCTACAAAAAAAATACAGAAATTAGCTGAGCTTGGTGGCTCACACCTGTGGTCCCAGCTACGTGGGAGGCTGAGGTGGGAAGATCACCTGAGCCTGGGGAGGTCAAGGCTGCAGTGGGCCCAGCTCGTGCCACTGCACTCCAGCCTGTGCCACTGCACTCCAGCCTGGGTGAGAGAGTGAGACCCTGTCTCAATCAATCAATCAATCAATAATAAAGATATATTCTGTGGAGCAGCCGGCCTGGGGGGTCTGGGTGTGGTGGGCAAGGATTCGAAGGCAGAGTGCGGGGGTCAGTGAGGGAGGAGAAGGGGAAACCCAGGGAGGCAGCAGGGGAGGGGTGGCCTCCAGAGGATGGGAGAAAGGGAGGGGGAGGCAGGGAGGGCAGGCGGGGGAGCAGTCATGGCTGGCCCCAGGCCTGGGGTGAGTGTGGGAGGGGTTCACCTGGGCAGACACACAGGAGGTGCATTCCCGGGTCAAGGAAGGAGTTAACAGAGGCCGTCAGAGCATTCAGGGTGCTGGGCAGGGGAAGGGCGGCTGGTCCCGAAGCGAAGAAGGCCAAGCCACGTCCACAGAGGTCATGTGAGCCCAGGAGGCCAGGAAGGGCCCAACCAGGTTGTCCACTGCCCCTTCAGGACGCACCC